TGTGGGCCTCCTCTGAACTACCATCACCTCTTCTTAGAATTACTGAAGTTCCCCCTTGTTTTCCTACCTCTACTTCCCCTTTTTTCCAATGCATTCTCCATAAAGCAGCCAGGGAAATATTTTTAAAGTAGGATATGATAATATCTGTCTCCTCCATGCATTTCAGTGGTTCTTGGGATGAACACCAGACTCTGATTCAGTACACCTGGACTCACCACAGTCTACCTTGGCCTTCTCCAGGCCCATTTCTCACCTACTCCCTACTTTAGTGATACTTTTCTAAAATAATTTCTTACTTAGTTAACTTCTGCTCTCTGATGATCTCAGCTAAACCTCATTTGTTCAGAGAGGCCTTCACTGATTCCACAGCTAGGTTCATCTGACTGTTGATACTTTCCATCTTTACAATTAATGAGGAGTTGTGTAACTAGTGCTCTTACCCCCCAAAACTGAGTTCCTGGAGTTACATCCGTGTCTTCTGTTGTGCCCCCCAACTCCCTCCAGATTGCTCTAGTACCTGATATTAAAGCACAGTAAGATAAAGAAATGATTATTTGAATTTGTATATACTCATATTCTATGGATTATATGCCTCTTTGCTGCCTGAGGACTTCTCAGAAACAAAAGGATAAAACCTCCAATGTTAGAAATACTAAAACACCAATTCAAAGCAATCAACAGATACAAATAACTATCATTCTATACATTATAATTATAATTGGTCATTGAGTATTTTCAATATAATCTTATGAATGAGAGTAATTAAATGGGGGAAGATTACAAGGGACAAATCTGGTAGGTGTTTTTACTTAGGTAGGATATAGGGTTTGTCCAAAAGCTGATTTAGTTTTCATCTATTGATGTTCAGATTCTGAAGCCTGGATCTCATTAACTGGACTTGCCAGAAACTGATGAATATCTAGAATTCCAGTGCTGCACATGAATTTATAGTGCATAATGAATCGTCAGGCACTGCTGGTGTCTGCTCAGAAGCACACCCCTGGGTAAAATCTACCTCAGAAGCTGGATTTCATCCCAGCCTCCCAGGGTTGCAGAATGTGAAATCAGGGTCAAGACAGCATGCAACCTAAAAGCATGCTCAAACACTGAAGTCTCTAAATGAACTGTTTCAGACAAAATAGAAATCAGCATTTTCGATGAGACCACCTCTGTTGATTATGATTACCTATCCTTGGGTATGCTTTCAGTCTTTACATACTGCTATTTTTCTTCACTTCCTAAATGGTTTGCTGTTTTTATTTGTTCAATTGATTTCCTTGCAGTTCCTGATTACTGGGCAGATTGCACATAATTTTCTCACAGTTTCAATTTTACTGGCAGAAGTTGAACTAAGTGGTGATAGTATAACATCACAGAACAATCAAAGTTATATTTAAGCCAAGTAAAAGGCACTAAAAAATGAGATAGGTTTTTAACTGAAGACATAGCTAGTTAACTTAAGTATCACTAACTAAAACAAATGAATTGATATTTTAAAGAAAGCAAAGTAAGTTAAAAAGGAAATAAATTGCTTGAAGGGTTTTAAAGTTGTGAAATCTCCTCTGGGGAATACAAAATGAAAAATATGTATATGAACTCATGAATGACAAATATTATTCTTCAACCAGTGTTTTAGAGTAACCAATTTTCTTAAAGGTAGAAATAAAGTGAAATAAGATTAAATTTATGAAAGCATTGAAAGATCATCAGGTCACATTTAATTGCTTAAAACTAAATTTAAAAAATTATACTCTGAAAAATCTGTCATAAATGCTAAAGCGAAGGCCAGGGATAGAGCTCAGTGGTAAAAGTGCCTACCTGACAAGTACAGGGTCCTGAGTTCAATCCCTGGAACTGGAAAAAAAAAAAAAAAGAGTACGTATAAATGCTAAAGCATTTGTGAAAGGCTACCAGATCATTCTTTATATATAAAATATTAACTTCAAACTTCAACTCATTCTCAAAAGGGATTACCAAGGGTTTAAATGTGCATCAAAGTTCTAAACCTTTGCTGGGCATGGTGGCACACCACTGTAATCCCAGCACTCTGGGAGGTTGAGACAGGAGGTTTGCAGGTTGAATTGCAACCTGGGCACCTTAGCAACTTAGTGAGACCATGTCTTGAAATAGAAATGAAGGAAGAGAGCTAAGGTGTAGTTTAGGGGGAAGCCATGGGTACAGTTCTGGGACTTGAAAAAACTAAATCTTTGCCAAACTTACTACAGGATATAGGGGAACTTTATGAGTAGAAATGTTTCTTTGACCCTGAGGTTTATCATTCCCTTGATGATAAAGAGTTTTTGAGTTCTAATTGTGGCAGGCCAGTAAAGATATTCTTGATTTCTTTGGTTAAAATTTTGCCATATGTTATTCTAGAGAAATGTAGGCTTTTCTACAAAAGAGATGCTTAGAGTTCCTTTCCATGCTGCTTTTCAGTGTTTGCCAAAGGTGGATGCTTAGCACTACCAAGTTTCATCTTATTGCTGTGCCTTTAGAACATCTTTCTCAGAATATGTTATATAAAGTATTTAGTCTCCATACCAATGTTTAGTTAAACAAAAATTTGGGAAAAACAAAAAAACTTCACTGTA